ACCACAGCTATGAAGAACAATGCAAACTTATCTATTTATAAACACACTATCAGTATATGAAATGCTGCATTATGTTATGTTTAAAGGTTGACTTAGTATAGGATGAGTTTGAAACAACAGTACATTTACAAAATCAATGAATTTGTGTGACAGTACAGGAAGAATTTTTATGAGATGTTCTAGGAAACATACATCTCCTTATTAGGATACTGACAGAGTAGGCAGAAATTTTGTGGCAATTCTGTTGTGTAAAATACCATTGGAACTCAGTATTATAAGCCCCCAACTGATAAACCTATTTGAGTACATGTATAGAGCAATTAAAATCAGTAGGAAAACTCATTGGCTTAAAATAAGGCATTTGCACGTCTTTGCAAGATCAGAGTTTTGATGTGACTAACAACCAATAAGCACATTATTAGTTACTGAAGCTCCAGCTCCAGTCCAGTGTGCGAATATCTTTCAAAATGAATGCTCCTGAGCTGAAAATAGCAGCCTATTATATAAAAACTATTCAAATGACAGTTATGTTCAGTTATTTGAGCAAAAAACTCCAGCTTCCAGAAAGTCAGCTAACTCATGGTACAGTATTTTAAGACTGGTACAATGATCTGTTCTGATTCCCTCTCTATATGGCTGAACAGTGAGGCTGAGCACTTTAAAGCAGAGTCAATGCTAAATGAACAATTTTTCTTATCACTAAATTTAAGAACTAACACAGAAGTGTACTGTGCAAAGAAAGCATTTTGCTGTGAGCACCATCAGATCTATTCTTACAAACTAACCTTAGCAGTTACCTGAGGTCTTATTTATAACTTGTTAACCAAGAGGCACTTTTCTGTATCTATAAGATGCCTAACCATAAACCATATTACTACTCATTATTATAGAGACAAAAGTTTCCTTTCAAAAAGGCATAGCACAACAAAACCTCATTGTGATGATGCAAATTGAAATGTATTAATGGTCTACCTGATGGAAAAAATACAGAATTAGTATTAGTTGGAAGTAAGACTTACTTTTCTTCACTAAGGAATAAGCCTCATCTATTCTTCTCCTTATTGATGGATTCTTCAAAGTCACTTTTGCCTGTATCACACACAAACACACAAAATACAACGATCTGGCTTTCTTCCCCATTCACATTTTAAGAACAAAGTTTAGAAAATGCAATAAGAACAAAAATGCAGAACAAAAGATGATGAAGGAATTATTTTAAGAACAAAGTTTAGAAAATGCAATAATTCAACAGAACAAAAGATGATGAAGGAATCTTAAAAATAGAATACGACTGTATCATCATACAGCTTGCATTTATATAAGCAGTCACAAATCACAAATGACAAGCTGCTTCCTTACCTGTTTAACCTCCTAGCCTGAGCAGTTATTTATTATTTAAAATAAAAAAATGGAACTGCAGCTGCAAATTTTATTTTCACCTACTTAAAGGTTACTGTATTGCTTATAGCATAATAAAAATAACATTAGAATTTTTTCAAGTATTTCTCAAATACTAACCTTCTGATAGTTGTGAAGCAAAGCCCAAAGCGAAGCTGCTCCTATTCTCTGAACAGCACAATTATCACTTTCCAAACAGGCAGAAAGTACTGCAATTGCTTTATCTAATGAGAAAAATAAATAAATAAAGCAACTCATCTAGAAAAATATCATCAAAAGCACACATATTTACATACCTCAGTATTTTGATGCTTGGAGTACACTTATTTCTATGACAAGTACTGGTATGGCAGAAGAATTACAGACACTTTATCATCAGATTAATTAAATTTAAATATGCTCACAAAATTGGTAGACTACACTGAAAGAAGTGTTAAAAAGAATATAGCAAAACAAAATCAAGCAATGCTAAAAAATTAAGCCATCATTAATAAAACATGCATGCTATGTACAGCCATCAGCTATGCATACAAACTGACTAAGCCATTAAACTGTTTTATAACTCCCAGTAGCCACAATTAAAGCCACATCAGGATGGAAATTAAGGTGAACACATGGTATTCTGGAAGACATAATATTCTCAGAGTAAAATAGCTTGTATACCATATAGATACTTACCATTAGCTAATATCTTTGGTTTATTAGTTGGACTAAAACATAAGTTATGTAGAATAAGAAGTGCTAGATGTTGGCTGCTCCTGTGTTTGTATTTACTCATTTCCACGATCTGGTCTAAAAAACCATTTATCTTCATGATCATCTGCTGTCCATCTTCTCCAAAAGATATGTTCAGTAGCAGCTTTAGCCAAAGAGTAGACACATTACCAGGATTTTTATTACTTCCTTTTGGCAATGAAAGAGACAAGAAGTTCTGCAGGAAGTTACTCTGTCAGAAGGAAGGATAAGAATGTTAGAATTTATAGTATTCTGTGGTTTTTTCACTGCTCTTTGACCTCCCAATCTGCATACTTAACCAAGAACTGGTACTAATGTTTCATTTACATATTTCAGGGAACACATTATTTGTCAAGGATTTTTGAAAGAATTACATACAAAAAAGAATTCAGATATTGGTTAAAAAGTTAATACCATAAAATACATTTTCTTCTGTAATAACTGATGCAGTGTAGATACATAAAAGTTGGCCCAAGACAATAAATTTCTTTAAAGGCTAACTCCCACCACTACGTAAGTTTTTGGTTTGCACTTAGCATTTCTGCCCAAAAATAAGCTAGGAGCTATTTAACTGAATCAATGGATTACTTACCTAATGTATTCTTGATTCTTTATTTACTATTGCTTGTGTTATTAGCAAATGTTAAAGGTATCATAGAATCACAGAGAATCTCAAGGTGGAAGGGACCAATAAGGATCTACACTATCCCCCCTTCACTGACAGTCATAGTCACGTCCTCTATTTTTGTAAGCTTTGTAGAAAAAGACCAGTGTGTTGACATAGCATACACTTCCACTTCCCAGTCTCAGGGTTTGCCTCCACTTTAAGGATATTCTGAGCTGGTAAAAATCTATTCTGCTTTTGGAATAGGGAGCTGTTCTAACATAACATTGCTGTGATGAAAAAAGTCCTTGATTAAATATTCCAAACCTCACTGACCCTTGACGACACACAGGTATCTGGTCAAAAGCAAACAATCCAGCATATAAACTCATTGCAGTTTTCTCCATGTGAATATATTATTGATAATTTAATTTTCATAGATGGAATTAGTAATCAGGCATTGCTTACACATGAAAGCAGAGCTCAGGAAAGAGAATGAAGAATAAATACTATCACGCTAGAGTGAAACTCTGAAGACAGCAAAAGCCAAAACAATTCACCGAACAGAAGATACCATAGAAGAGATCTCAAACTCTTCATTTCTATCAAAAAGTTTGAATATCACCAATTTTGTAACTGTATGATCAGATTTTACATAATTAGGACCACAAAAAGATCATATTTCCCCTTGCCTTTTCTAACGGGTAATTAGGTCCAAGCACAGAATATTGTTAATGTAAATTGAAATAAATTGTTGCAATTATTAAACTACTATAAAAGACGCTAAAAACAAACATACTTTTTATAATTTCTGTTGTGTTAGTATTAACACGTCACCACTATAGTTGATTTTCTACATGGATTGACTTCTCTTGAGGTGTTGAATTTATTTAAATGATCAAAGTTAAATTTAAAAGAAACAGATTTTTCAAAGAACATGTGATAAAGATCACTCAATACACAAATTAAAAAGGGAAAAGACAGTACTTATATTTATATAATAAGAATAGATTTTTACCTAACAGTCAATTATTGACATGTAGGACATCTTTTCCAAAACTATAATTTTTGTAAAAATAATGTTTCACACAGTATACCTAGTGATTTATGCAATGTTTAATTTCTTGTTTACTCACAAACAGTTTGTTCTACTGTATGCTCACTATCATGAGCAGTAGTGATTGCTACCAATATCTATGGGTATTAAAAATTTTACACCCCAGAGAAACTGAGAGTTTATAAAAAGCTCTAGCAAAAATTGTGTAGTTCCATATGCTGTTTCTGCCCAGACTATGAATATGACCAAATTACATGCTGCACTTAGGGAACAGCAACACAACTAACTGAGAAGACACAATGGTTTTGATTCCTGCAGAAGCATCTCTATATGATCAAAAGACAATCCATATTGAAATATGAGATTATATTAAAAAGGAAAATGCTTCCTTCATATTGCTAAAATCAAGAATATTATTTACTTACCTTCTGAATAATGCCTTTACAATCATGAGACAAAGCAAGGTTAGAAAGAAGACAAAAGACCACCTGCTGAATTGGGCTGTTATCGTTTGACACTTGGGAAGCCAGTTTCAAGATGTTATAAATTAACGAATTGCCAGTTGCACTTCGTACAGATGGAAGTGACGATTGTCCACCACTGCCCCAACAAAGTGAAGCACAACCTTAAAGAGATGAAATGTTTATCACATGAGAAAGGCACATATAAATTTAAAAAAAACCCAAAACATCTATAGAAAGAGCAGTCTAACAGCTCAAAGATTGAGGTAGGATTTGTGAAAGGATTGTGTTTTGTTGTTCAGTGAATTCAATGGCACCTGCTTTGAGTAGAACCATGCCTGAATGTGGCAGTTGACATGAAAAGGTATCTACTGTCCTATTGTTTAGAATCTAAGAGGTGATTCTGCTAGAGAAGCCATTGTTCTGTCTCAGAAAGCCTCCTTAAAAACCAGAACATTAGATCTAAGGCATTATTCAATTATTTGGCATCAGAATCTGAAGGGACCCTCTGAAACTGATTCAGAAGAAGAGGTCTCTCTGAAAGGTTTAATAAGTTTCTTAAAATACTTTTCTGAGAAATAAAAGCACCATCTGCATCTGTCATTACCTTGTACAATATTAGCATGTAAAATCCTATGCTACAAATCTACAAGCTCAAATTAATTAGTGGCAGGGAACATCTAAGTTACCAACATGATGTTTGTGCCCAAATACACATATATACCTTCTTATTTAGTGGCATTTACTATCTGCAACAACAATTAACTTCTTACAATGCAAAAGTAAAAGAAAATGAAACTGTTCTTAACTGTTACAAACATCTACATGCATTTCTTTATTTGATTACCCTAAGGGGAAGTGGTTAACTAGTTCAGAGTAGGTAAGTTTGTGTCACCTCATAAGCCAACTAACCTGAACAGAAAGAAAAAATGTGATTAATCTAAAATCACTTGCCCTTATTAGCAAGGAAAATAAAGAGGCAGCCTAGAGTCATTCAGCATGAAGGAACAAGAAAGATCATCAGAACTTCAGCTTGATTTCCAGTACATCACAGGTCATTAGATTTTAATTTTATATTAAAAAAAAAAAAAGTTATCACGAAAAAAAAGGCATCACAAACTCATTTAAGATCTGGAGACACCAACTTAAAAAGAGGGTAAAAAAGCTCTGAAACTGTTCAGTTAATGTATTTTAACCACGCTAACTCTTATGATATCTTGACAGGAAGAAATCAATAGCTCTTCAAGCCACTACCTGAGTCCATAATCAGCTTATGGAATGAGACAAATTCATACTAGAAAAAAGAACAGGTTTCTAGTAGTGTGGATATTTACTCATTAATGGAAATAAAGGTGTTCCTCAAATGAAGAAGAGAAACCTTATGAAAAATACACAAATACAGGCTACTTAGCCCAATGCATAAATAAATTGAAGAAATTTAATATAGAATTAAATTAGCTTATTGGATATTTCAAAACCAGAATGTTCTCAATAAGAACTGAAGTACAAATTGTATAAAATACTGATATGCTGTTCTGGGAGAGTACTCCTAGAGTGGTGTTTCTACACTAATTCTATTCAGTTTGGCAGGACTTTCAATGTAACCTTCAAACATAATGGTTTGAATTAAACACTATGTAATCCTTTAATACAATTGTACTCTTGCTAAATCCAACAGACTGAAACAGGATCTGAGCAAAAGTCTTGAATGTATTAAAATAAAAACTCTTTATAGACTTTGATGGACTTTTATACTTTCCTCTACCGTGATAATAAACACTCTTTTCCCTTTATTATGCTTTTCTGTCTTAATTATTCTGATTAAATATTGTGATCTATTACATCATAGAGAGACTCTCATACCTGCAGGATAGTTTGCAGTGTAGACACAAAGCAAGTGCAGAGCTATTTGCATTGAAGAATCATCTATTAAAAACCATGGCCAAAGCAAATGCAGAACAGGAACAAGATGAGCTTTGAATGCTGCCATCTACAAGAACAAGATAAGGAACTTAAATTATTATACCATTAAATACTTTTAAAATTGAGTATAAGTAGAGTGAGAAAAGCATATTTTTATTTTATTGTGTCCCATTAGTTTGCTTAAAAGATCGTACAGAGAGAACCAATACCCTCATTTCAACACTAATGAAATTATCCTGGTCAAAATCACCACGCAGGTTTCAATTACTGAGAGATATGCAAACAAAAGTAAAGATGTATTCAAACTGATTGTTCAAGAGCTCCCTATTCTGAAGTTTTATTCTACTCCAACTAAACTAGTTATTGGAACTCAAAAAGCATGGAAATAGAAGAGTACTGTTCTACAGACTAAATAATAGAAAACTTCTGTTATCAGCAGCAATCTCCTCCTCTCCTCCAAGCAACTGTCTCCACGGACCCCTGATCAAAACAAGAAAAATATTCCACAATTATCTGAGATTATGGTACAACCAAGTTATTCAGGCCCATAATTAACATGGTGTTCTGTACACAAAAAGGATGCCGAAACATGCCCTCAATAGGGGTACTTCTGGAAGGTCTGGAAATCTTGTGGTTCCACCACTGCATTTGCTAAAAGTAACTCAAGTTGCATCACAATGCCAAGACAAATTAAACTCTGAAAGCAAAAATGGAAATAAATGTGGGAAAGATATCAACAGTAAGAAAGAGGATGAATAGTGATCAGAAAGAAAGAATAGAGGAAAAAATGTACTGTTTTCCCCATGCAAAAAAAGGTATGCAGAAAAACTGAAGTAGAGAAGAAGTTGAAAAGCACAGAGGAAACAAATAATGTGACATGAAAAGAAAAAATTAAAAACAAGATTCTGAGCAAAAAAAATGGTTTTAAAAAATCAAGATGAAATCAAAATTGTGTCTTGCAGGATTAGTGGAAATAAACTCAGACAAAGAAAAGTAAATGGTAAATTATTACTTAGGGGTTTTTTTTTGTTTGTTTTGGTTTGTGGGGTTTTTTTTTTTTTTCAGAAAGGCATAGGAAAAAAGGAGAGAGGAATAAGGAGAGGAAATTGCTTTCTAAGATGTGACGTGTATCTCGTACATGCCTTTCTTCTGGCCCCATACTTTTCTTCATATCCATTTTTCAGATTATATGCTTCGAATATTGGAATTATTAATTTAAACAAACTCGAAGTGGGTATAAATGATGATAGCCATCTGAAACCTTTGGGAGATTATGTTTCAATACGAACATTGAGTTCCTAATGCATGTATGAAATACTCTTAGTAGGTGGGAATAATAATGAAATTTGAAGTATTTCTTGCTATTAACATAAAACTTAAATTTAGCCAGCTTTAATATAAGTTCAAAATTAAAAAAAAAAAAAAAATGATCTTCATTCAGTAACTGAATGAGCTCACAGTATTTCAGTATGAGAATACTTACTTTGCATTCTTCATTTTGAAAGAGACAGTTTCTGAGAAGCTGCATAGAACGCCTTAACTGCTTGATAAGGTTATCCTCCTATCCAGGGAAAAATATTTGAAGATCATTAACATAAGACCAGAATTAGTTTTGTAAAAGGAGGAAAGAGATTTCAAAGGAGAGGTGCAAATCTAAGGCATCAACATTTGGGTCACATCTCTAGCAGAATTTCCTTCTGATCTCAGGTAAGATTCATTTCACCTACCTTTAAACATGTATGTTAAAGACATCTATAACAAGTTTCTTGGGAGTCACCCTCATCTCTCTTTATAATCCAGATACTATTTTCTAGGAGTGCTGATCTGGCTAAATGCAGAGATCTGTAATGCAGAGCTCCATTTCTCTTATAACTAATGAAGAACGGGTGGGAACTCTTTCTGGGTGTTTGTTCCATCCTTAAGCAGACATCTAAAATAAGTCAAATGAATCACTCTCTAGAAGCACCTATTTTTCTTCCTTAGATAAAAACAAGGATAAACCAGCTCTGTCTTGCAGATCTCTGCATTTGGTCAGACCAATCCATCCTTATATTCCCAGTGTCTTAGTTCCCTATCCTTAATAACGGAAATAGTTTCCAACCTGATAAGAATATTACAAAGATAAATACAAACCCTTGTACAGTGAGGTACTATACTAAGATTCAAGAACAAGTAAACAAAATATCTATCTTCATGACAGTGCTGTGACACTAAAAGGTTAATGATGGCTGACCTAACTTCTATAAGGCTGACATACTAAACCATTTCTGAAAGACAATCAAATTCCAGTAAGTTTGTTCACCACAGGAAACTATTTCTGTTTTATCAAGCATAAAGGAACAAAAATGTAAAATAGGATTCATGCTTAATCTCAGACAATGTGAAGCAACAATGCTTGCTTATAAATCGTATCATGTACAGTTGATGACATTTAGAGATGAAGTAAAAGTCTTCTCTCAAAATAGTTAATAAAAGTCAGATGTAGCAGATGAAAAAGAAACACACAAGTCATCATTACAAATGCATTTTGAGTGGTTTGTCTCATTTTTAACTAAATAAAATGCTAACTCTAAGAAGTTTCTTCAAGAACTTATACATGTATCAATGTATTTAATAAATACAGATAGCACTAAATCCCATAAAATGCCACAAGCTACAATTTATATTTAACGTGTAAACTTCTAGAAGGTTGAAAAAGTTATAGATTGTGTTGATGTCACTGTTTTACTTATTTATTTTAGGTTATCTTGTTTTTTACTAAGATTCTATTTAACAGGATTTTTTTCTGAAAGCTTGACTATTTGTAAATACTTCTCAGGCCCTTGGTTATCATCACAGTAATTATTGTGAAAGAAAAGGAATCTTAGGTAAAATACTCCAGTTGCCCTGAGAATGAAGCTAGGTCAAATAGATTTTCCCCAACAGCTGAAAGAAAAGAAAGAGAAAAAGAAAATAACCTCTGATAACCTCACTTTGAGAGCTGTGCCTCAGAGTGGGTTGAGGGGCAGTTTTGTGAATGATCAGCTGACTATGAAAGCAATGTCTCAGTTTCCCTCATGTGAAACTAGATTTCTTGTCATTATGCACCACATATGATGAACAGCATGCTTAAACATGATGTAGTAACCTACAGTCCCAGCTCAGACAGGAAATGTGCCACAAACTCTTTCACAAATCTCTTTCAAATAATTCTTAATTAAACAAAAACAGTCTTTCTGACCTTTCTCAGAGGCTCTTTTCCTTAATTTCTTTCAAGTTTTAAATTCCTTCTACATTTAGCAGAGAAGCAAATGTACCCAGCTTCCCCCTTCTCAATCCAAGAAATACGAAGAACCAACTGACTTCAATCTCACTTGACATTACCAGGGCAGGAGACCTTTCAGCCACCTCCCTTGAAGAAGTGATAATAAATGTGTTTAGATCTCAAGAAAAAATACTGTAGCCTTCAAATGTCACAGTCAAATTCAAATTATTTTCAGAGCTCATTCTTATAAAACACAGTTCCACTCTCTCACAAATCAAAGCTAATATTTGTTTTTGCCAACACCACACAGAAAAATACTATCAAACTCAAACAATGAAGAAATATCCTGCAGGAAATTGTTTCCTGCAATTTCTGCTTTAAGTGGGAGTGGTCAAGACATCAAACTTGACAGCAGATGTTATTGTCTGTATTTTAATAATTCTCAGAAGAAAGTGGTAGAAAACAAGCAGCTTACAACAAAAATCTTATGAAACTGTTGTATGATGGTAAGAAATAATCTATGTCTAGATGTAGTAAGAAAGAGCTGGGTAATGTGAGTCTGGAACAAGTGTAAGGGAGGTTAAAAAAAGGCTAAACAAAGAAATTGTGAACGGAGAGAAGAAACTGTGAGTACAGGAGGTGGTTTGCAAGTATGAAGTTAAAAAACCAACCAACCAAACAAACTCTGACAAGAAGATAAAGCTAGAGACAATTGAGTCTGATGACAAGAGACTGAGATGTCAATCAAGCATACAGGAGAAAAAATGAATTAGAACTGTAAGCCAGCTAATAGGAGAAGGCAGATAATTAAAAAAATGACTTAGACGCGCAAGCAGACTCAAAGTGGTTTTGGGGTGGGAGGGAGATTGACTGGTACAGGAACAGAAAAAAACCTAAATGCCTAGCACTTGTTGAAAGACACTGAGAAAGAAAACCCAAGAAACAGAAAAAAATATTATTGTGGAAACAAGATGGGAAAAATTAGCTGGATTGGATAGGACCATGAAGTCAAGGTTGAAAGTCTAACTATGTATGAAAATAACACCGTACTCTTAAATATTGCTGTCAGCTAAATATCATAAATTGCAAGCACTGACAGAATCAGAGAATCACAGAATGGTAGGGGTTGGAAGGGACCTCAGATCATCTAGTCCAATCCCCCTGCCAAAGCAGGTTCCCTACAACAGGTTACACAGGAAAGCATCCAGGAGGGTTTTGAACATCTCCAGAGATGGAGATTCCACCACCTCTCTGGGCAGCCTGTTCCAGTGCTCCGTCACCCTTACAGTAAAGAATTTTGTCCTTAAGTTTGTATGGAACTTTTGGCACACGCCGAAACACCAGCACACACCCAGGGGCTTTGGCCAGTAACACCCAAGACTGGGAACTGAGTAGCTGCAAAGCATAAACAGATGTGATTTTCTGCCTGACTTTCCTGAACCAGCAGTCACCTCCATAATGGAAAAGGAAGTTGAACCTAGTGAACATAACTCTGGGTGGGCTAGTGTGAGAGATAATCAAGTTGATAAAAGCTCTAAAATCATTGAATCTTAAAGCAGCCCCAGTATCCAGATCCACTACAAGTTTTCATTTAACTCTGTCTCACCTGTGACAGATACCAACAGTATCCATCTCAAGGGGGAAAAAAAACCAAACAAAATCAAACACACAAAAACCAAAAAGCAAATAAAAAAGAGCTGGAAGTACCCTATCATACCAGTCTTTTGGTTTTTATGCTTACCTTTTTTTTCTGTGCTTTCCCAGGCTTAAGGGCATCTAAATTCAGCTGTGCATGAATGTGTTTCATGTTTTCTATACAGTTGTCTATCAGGTCAACTGGAAGACAAAAAATATTAACGTTCATTCACAATCAAAAATATTTTATGAAACACAAAATATCTTTCTTGTGATGATCTTGATTACTGTTACCCTCCTGAATTGAGATTTAAGAATTAAGACGTCCACATTCTGTGAGTTCAAATTATATTGTCTTCTTCTTGATATCAGTAAGTAACTAACAGTTTCTGAGCTGGAATGTGTCTAGTTGAATGATCCTGAGACGCAAGAACACACTTGAG